GGCTCGGAGCGCGTCTGCCTGGCTGTGTGTTTCCTGGACGGGGCCGCCTTTTACAGCTGCTTTTTGTATCTCTGACTCTTTTTCTATGTCTGCTCCTGTCTCCTTGAACTTGAACCCCAGTCGACTTCACACTGCGCCTGGTTCTGCTGGAGGTTTCTTCCTGTTAAAAGGGAGTTTTTCCTCTCCACTTTCGCTACAAGCATGCTTAGTGTGAGGGATTGCCTTAGAGTCAATGAGTCACTGCAATCAGCTGGTTTTCCCTAGATAGAAAAATTTTGAATCAATTTGACTGGATGATATATTTGAATTGTTAAGGGCCTTGTGAATTGGCTATATAAATAAACTGAACTGAACTGAACTGAATTTACCCAGTTACCTTTACTTCAGTAACTTTTTGGAGGAAAAATGTACTTTTGGGAGTAATGTACTTTATTGTACTTTTTACTTTTACTTGAGGGATTTTCTTAGGAGTGCACGGCTAGTCTTTATTGAGCTAAGAATCCTCGTTACTCAGCTCAGTAACTTCTTTATCCTTTCCTAAACTTTATGCATTACTAATGTTAAGCTTGATTTTAAAAGTTTAGTTTAAAGGTTATTTCGAAAACATGTTTTCTCTTTATTGTTATAATTCAAAATACCAGAATTTGCAGAAAACGGTCTATTTGACATAATTTTAGACATTAAAACGCATGTTACGAGCCAATTGTTGCATAGGGAACCATTTTAATGACTTCCTTTTCTGTTATATCGTATTGTACTTTTAGGAAGGAGTTTAGGAAAAAAATCTAACATAATTATGTTAAGATTTAAGCAAGCAGAGGTTAAGAATCAGAAATCATCAACATCTGCAGATTTAAACATTCAAGCATCGGAATCAGAATGAAAATAAAAACGTAGATTTGTTGAATGTCCATCCATCCATCCATTTTCCATCACGCTTATCCTTTGCTCGGGTCGCGAGGGATGCCTATCTCCAGCTGTCAATGGGCGAGAAGAGGGGTACACCCTGTACAGGTCGCCAGTCCATCGCAGGGAAACACAGAGACAAACCGGACAAACAACCATTCACTCACACCTAAGGAGAATTTAGAGAAGCCAATTAACCTAACAGTCATGTTTTTGGACTGTGGCAGGAAGCCAGAGTACCCAGAGAGAACCCACACATGCACAGGGAGAATATGCAAACTCCATGCAAAAACCTTCCTGCTGCAAGGCAGCAGTGCTACCCACTGCAACACCCTGTTGTATATGTTAGAAAAATAACAGGAATGGTGGTGAGTGACAGTGCCAAACAGAATACTTAGAATTTGTAAAAACAGATTTTAATTTTTTTTTTTTTTTTACACAAATTGAGATTTAGGAAAGTAGCACTGAGGGATTTCATTGCAGTTTTGGGCATGAAAACATCCATTGATAAACCTGCTGACCATGCCGCTGTATGATTCTTTAACCCTATAATGCCAAATGCATCATATTTGATACATACGGTTTCTGAAATGTTTTGCGTCTGACACCTTTAAACTTTGC